AAAGTGACAATTTTGATATTTATTTGTAAATTTTTTACACAAACTCTACATGTGTAACGAAAACCTTTAATATAGAGCCACGAATAGATTTTAAAAAATTAATTGAGTATAGTATCGTATTGAAATTGAGATAAAAAATTAGATTAAAAATACATTTATTGTACTAAAAAGAATGAACAAAAACTAAAGTACGCATCGACCAAAATAAAATTTTTACCTTTTATTAATTTTTCTCTTTATTTATTATTATTATTATTTTATCTTTTAACAAATATAGAATATAAAGGTGGAGATTTAAACTCTAATCGACGAGCTTCAAAATTTGTGGAAAATAGGAGAAGTTTAAGGATTGCCGCTTACATTTGATCAGGGAATGAGGCAGCTAATAGCCGACACCACATAGAAGTTCAAGCTATATTCACATTAAGAAAAATAGCATATAAACTATTTAATATATGTGACACTCAAGTAAGGGGTACATGAATAATCTGACACTGCAATATTACCTTTCCTATAAAAAGTACTTAAAAGAATTAATAATATTGTTCATACCAATAAGATTGTACCTTCTTTGGTGAGAAAGACTTACATAGAGCATAAGCTTTACCAATTTTTTCGTGATCCATTAAAGCCACTAGTTGCTAAGTTTGAATTCTTAAATGTCAAATTTCTTTCACTCTATTTAGAAATATCATCGTTTTTCGTTTATTATTTTTTTAATAAATATAAATAAAACAGTGTTGGATAATTATCTTTTTTCTTTTATTGAAAAAGAAAATGGTAGTCATTTCTCGTTTATCGTTCTCTAAAATTTTAAATTAACAAAAAATCTTACCTGAAATCTAATATTTTAAAATTAAATAATAAAATTTTGTGCATCCCATATTTATTTATCTAATATTTATTATAATTATTTTATTTATATTTAAAAAAAAAACTAGAAACACAAATAAAAAAATTGATTTTATTGTTTCCAAAATTATGTTCTAAAATGTCTACATAATTGTGAAAATGACATATTGAGAACGTTTGAGAAATGAGAATAAGAAACGTGAGAGTTACCAGATCAATGGTATCTATAAAAATGTTTTTTTGGTTGTATTTCCGTAACATTTTTACGTAAATTATACTATATTTACAAGGTGATTAAGAGTTTTGGATCTTCCATTGGCCGGGACTCGAGAGAAATGGGCTTAATGGGCCGAAAAATCAACGCGCGGCCCAATACGCTTCATTCTTGAATTACTTGGAAGAAAGGCAAGAGAAGTGGCCATGGCGGTGCCACGAGGTCCGAGATCCTCCGGGTCTCCTTTTCCGCCGCGAACCCGAATTTCTTCCAGAAGCTGGAGCTCCGATTCGAATTCCATGGAAGCCCCTCGATTCCAGGCTCTCGTGAAGAAGCGATCGCCGCCGCCGTCGTCGTCTACTCCATTTCTCGAAGGTTTCATCTCCCGCCGCCGCTGCAATTGATCGGAGAGACCCATCCGCCATGGATGCTCGCGATCACTACAAGGTGCTGGGCTTGAACAGACGCGCCACGAAGGAAGAAATCAAGGAGGCATTCAGGAAGCTGGCGAAGGAATTTCACCCTGATAAGCATTCCCAATCGCCCAAGGCCATCAGGGACTCTGCTACTTTGAGGTTCAAGCAAGTTTCGGAAGCATATGAAATCCTCGGCGATGATTGTAAGCGGGCTGATTACAATATTCGCTCTCGTTGCGCCTCTGGTCCTTCTGTTAATCATCATTATTACTCGTCGTCGTATAATTCTTATGCTAATGCGAGTGGACCTCGATATGCTTCTTCTTCGGGATTTGCCTCTCGCTCTGGTTCCAATGTTGAAGGATTTGTTACGAATGTTCATATGCTTCTACGATTTCTCACCACGCGGGCTTTTCTTCTCAATTTTGCTTTTGCCGGGTATTTATACTTTACCAATACAATTTATGCTTTGAATTTTGGTAGTAAAGTGCTTCTTCGTTCCAACTTCATGGTTAACAACATCAACTCTCTCTCAGGACAAAAGCTTCCGCTTCCCATATCTAAACTCATTTTCAATTTAAGATTGTATTGACCCAGATTCTGTGTTCTTTCATTGTGCTCCTCCATCTTCACGGTCTTCACCCCAAAATTTGTTTCCTGATTCTCCACATAAGTTACAGTGTTTGTTAGTTTTCTGCATTATGATTTAGCATGTATTTGCTCGATGATGCTGCTGTGATGTAAGTGAAAAGTTGCACTACAAAACCCAATACGTGCTGCAACTCATGTTCAATCCTGTTAAATGATTTTTTCGTATCCTCAAAGTCATATTCGTTTGCGGTCAGAATTCTCCTTCAGATGTTTTTGTATCCTTCGGGTACGGTGAGCATGAACATCACTAAGAGTGATTTTTGGGAGAAACACCAATCGACTGCTTTTAGAATCACACTTGACTATATAACCATATAGCCAAATGTTATGAAAATTTTGAAAGTGCTTTTAATGGGCTAAAAGCACTTTCTACTGTTCCAAAATCATACCAAACTCTCCATATGGCAAGGCTGCTGCTCATGGAAGATAAAGTTTTTCTTATGGGAAGTATCTCGTGGAGCTATTAACTCTCTCACGAAGTTGGTACCAAATTTGCCGGTTGAACAATGAATCCCAAATTCCAATCCCATATTTTTGTTCTCTGCCCCTATGCCCAAAGTTTCTGGAATTTTGCAAGAGTTTCAATTGGCACACAGCCTTTCCAGTGCCTATGTCTACTAGCCCCTATGATTCGAATACACATCAATCCTCGGACCCTGTTGTTATCCGCTACATTCAAAAGCTTTTATATTCTACATCCTCATAGGGCACCCCTTTAAAGAGGAAAAAGCAAAGCAAACCTTATGGATGGACATAGTCATAGTCGGAGCATTCTTTTGGAAGATTTGGTTAGAGAGGAACGATTGTGCCTTAAATGGTTCTAAAGATCCTTTAAGCTCCTTTGTGAATTCCATTATGGCTCTTCATTGGTGTAAATGCAAGCAACCCTTCTCATTATAGTTTAACTAGGAATTACCTTTTTTGTAACTCCATTTTTGGGCTCTTGGGTGAACCCTTCTTTTTGTAATATTTTATCAATTAATGAAATACTTGTTTCCTAAAAAAAAAAGATACCAAACCGACACCTAAATAGTTGGTGTCTTAGCTAGACCTTGACAAGATGTGAATATTCTTGGCTAGGCCCTTGATTTCCACGAAGATTTCATTTATGGGAACGGGTTTGTTGTTCCTGGTCCGAGATAAGGTTGACCATAGCAGTTCTTACTGCCGTTTGAATCTGAAAGTTGCTCCAGTAGAAACTTGGGAATGGAAAAAGGTTTACTGCTAACTTGAGAGAAAAGGGACTGAAAAGTAAACAAAATAAATCAAGGAAACCAAAATTTTAGTCTATTATGGATCCATGGCCAAATATTATTGGTGCTAAGCATACCTGGCTATTGGCCCAAGAATTGACTGTTCTATTTTTTTAGCTTATAGTTTCTGTTTAGCTGTTGATGATCATTTCATAATAGAGTTGTTGACATGTATTTTGTTGTTTGACTTGGATATTCTAGGTGAAATTGAGAATAATCTACGAGTTCGAGTATATTTTTAGCCTGTTTCCACTTCCATAATTCTCAATCAGTTTTTACAAGGTCTGTGTTTGCAGAGCACAGGCTCTTTGACCGCAAATAGTTGTCATTGTTGCATTTTTGTGCAGTGCTTTAGTTGGTGGCATGTTTGCGATTGACACGAGTGGGGAGGCCTTGTGGAAGATGCACAATTCTGGGGTATGTAACTATTTGTTCTCTTATCCTCCTCCCTCTCACCCTATTAGTCCCTAGCAAAACACATTATTAATAACGGAAAAACATCCTTGTATTTTTCAAGCTTTTGCAAATCTTACCTGTATTTTGTGAACAGTTTACTTTCATACTTATTTCGGTTTGGTCAATTGTGAAATGTTATATTTTAGTCCAAATCGTTGATGTTTCATTAATCACTCGATAAGAATGATCTATTTAAAATTCAACATCTCCTAACCTACTAGTACTACTAAGGTTGTGTTTGTAGAGTCGGTGATTTTGATAAAAGAGATTTAGGTATAATTGATTTTCCAAAATCATCATCTAAGTGATACCTTAAAAATCAATTTAAAGTGATTTTAAACTTTCTTAAAATCAATTTTTTTATTTGCGAAACATGATCAATGAAAATGGAAGTGATTTTGGTCATGCCACATGCCAAAATCACTCCCAAACACACCCTAAATGGTTAGAAAATGATTTTAATGGAAAGTTCATGGACTAGGAACAAAATATTTGGAGTTTAATAGATTAAAATAGAATGAGCATCAAATTTCATAGACCATAACAGGATTTAGGCATCTAAACTTTTTTCCTTCTATCTAGCACATCTGAAGTAAGTGATATATGTCCATTCCATTAGAAATAACGGTGAAATTTAACATAATATGTGGTCTGTAGATTTTCAGACCATATACACGTCCAAATTTATATTCAAGACAGAAAGTGTATGATGTATAGATTTTACAACCCATGGAATGACTATTGCAATCTACTCTTAACAATTTTGGGCAGAATTTTACCTGCTCACTTGTTATATTTGTAATTTTTCAATTTTGAAATGGTTAGAGATCGGAGAAAACTACGAAATCTTATGTATTTTATATATACTTTTTGGATTACGGGGGGCGTCCCCTCCGCCTTTGATTATACTTAAGATTATGACTGGTTTTCCTCTCAGAAATCGTTTGAAGAAGCCATGGAGTCAATTAATAAAGCCAAAACACATGAAGATGCTTAAAAGTGCTTGCATTAGAATTCATTTCCCACCACCAGATTGTGTTTTTCCAAGTCTTCTTCCTGTGGGGTTAACATTCCACATGTAAGTGAAGTTGAGACTCACTTGACCATACAAAGAGAACTGGAGAACTGTATGAAATGTATATCTATATATTCTATCTTTTTCTCATCTCCTTGCTGCTTTTGTGTGAATGTATGGATATAGATTGTAGGAAAATTTTGGAATTGTTGTCTGCATTTTGTTGTTTTATTTACATATTTTAATACATAGACAGTAAGGCATCCTCTGGATAATTTAAATAGAAGCAATTGGATGTTCGACGCAGATCTATATGACATGATCGAGCAATAGATGAGAATTGGTCTTATTTTATAATAACGAATGTATACATATTTGTTCGTCATTTGAAGAATAGTGGAAGTCATACCTAATCTAAAAAAGAAGTGGATAGGAAGTTTATCCTTGTAGATGCTTTACGCATAATCATTCCAGATAAAGATTTCGCATAATCATTCCAGATAAAGATTGCATATAATCATTCCAGATAAAGATTTCGCATAATCATTCCAGATAAAGATTGCATATATTACTGCCGTGGTTGGCACAAAGTTGAATGTTACTTGACTAGTAAAATTGTTCGTTGGCAATATTCGATCGGCAAAACAGTGTAGTACATTTGATCTATATAGTCTATGTTTGTTGAATATGATATCACGAGAAGAATTAGATATCTTAAATTTACTCATGTCGAGCTACTTGAAATGTTACTTCTTCAAGCACTTGGCATATTACAAAGGGTCCTCAATGCAGCCTTTTTGAACTAAATATTTATCATATCACCTTTTGGAAATTTATAATAATCGTCTTGAAATATGATTATTGTTTCTTCTTCTTCTTCTTTTTTAATGCAACAATTGAAACAATAGGTAGGATTCAAATTTCTAACCTAATGATCTATATAAAATGTCTCGTAATATGCCAGTTATGTACTTGTATTTCCATCAAATGGACGTCATACCAAATCAACTAACATCTAGTTAGAGCTTGTTACGTCAAAGTCGCTCTAATAGGAAAAAAACTAATCTTACATCTTTTTATACTTTCAAATAATTTATTTTAATTACATGATTAAATAGACGTCATATTTAATATTTAGATTTAAATATTATTTTAGTTACAATACTTTTGACTTTATATCTCATTTATTTCAAGGAAATGACAATCAAAATTCTCATTCCCTTAAATGATGTTTACGGAGTGAAATTAATTGGCGAGACACGCCTCGAACTTGCACTCCTCTAAAAAGGTATAATTTCATTTATCTTCTACCATTTCATCAATTTCATTCCCATTTTTCATTACTATATCATAATTTTAGTATGACACTTTACTTGTCCAATTTCTTATAAAATACAATAATAAATTTGTATTAAATTTTTTGATAATAAGTATCAGTATAAATTTTACAAATAGAGAGGAAACCCTTTGCAAATTTGCAAATTTATTCATCTAAAAAATGTATTACTATCCCAAATTGACTATTTTTTTATGGGCAAAATACATTTTTTGTGTTTTAAGGTTTGGATTTGTTTCTATTTAGTCCCAAAATTTAAAAAATTAACACTTTTAGCCCAAAGATTTAAATTTAGTTTCTACTTGGTACTTAGGGACCGTTTGTTTCATGGAAATCTAAGATTACTGTGAGACAGATACCTGGATTAGTACGTTTGTTTTGTGGTAATGTAAGATACCTCATATATCGGGATACAGAAGGCATCCAAGTCGATGTGGATGCCATTTTGAAACATGGATTTACATGATTCCCATGTCATTTTTGCCCCTTCGTTATTTTTTCATATATTTTCTTTTATCAAATTTCTTTAATTTTATTTGTAATTTATAATGTAAATAATTTAATGGATTATTAACTAATAAACAATTAAGTGTATTTATGTATTGCACGTACATATAAAATAAACTTCAATTAAATTATATAATATCTACATTTACTTTTAATATTCAGAATGACTTATTATGAATAATATTTGTTATCTTAAGTACATAATTTGAAAACAAAATTTTTTTAACGATCAGCTTATTTTTGATATTATTTCTATTAAAATATTATAATAAATTAATTTCACTAGATATAACATTAATGATATAATTGTATTTTTTAAAAAATATTAAAGTTGAAAATGAAAATTATATTCAATATTAATTACTTTAAAAAAATTCTTATATTAATATAGCATACAAAAATTAATACATAACCCAATTAATATAAAAAACCTAAAATATTAAATTAATTAAAAAAATCTATTATATAAATATAAATTATATTAGATTAATGTATAAATTATGTTAAATATTTGTAAGGACTTTTTTGGAACCTTATATAAATTTAGAACATTCCCATGAATAAATCATGCAAAACGAACCTCTATAATTCCAGACATTTGAAATTTCAGACTTCTATACATGCCGGACATCTACATTCACAAAAACACAAACTGCCCCTAAAGTTCAAAAGTAACATTTTTGGTACTTGAAATTTCAATTTAGTTTTGAGATAAGTACATAACTAGTCTATTTTAAGTTTCAAATTACAAAAATGACTCAACTATTAAGAATTTACACAATTGTTTAAAGATTAGCTATTTATAGATGGAACTCATTATAAAATTACAAATTTCTCCTCTACAATATAGAATTAATAAAAATATAAACACAAAGTCAAAAAATAGAAAAAAAGAAACTAAAGATTGAACGGTTTTGATACAAATCCCTAAAATCATGCCTAGATTTAACAATTCAATAAGTTTGGTAGAAGCACTCAAGCGGCAGCAACCCCACAACAGAAGCTCACAGTGGCGGCGATCCCACGGTAGAAGCTCAAGAACGTCTTGCAGGCACAACTCTAGGAACACCGACAACTCGAACATACGCACACGCTACGACTGACAACGATATTTGGAGGTGGGTTCATGGTCTGCTAGTACACCACCATCTGTTGCTTGATGAAGGGGAGATCGTCGCGGTAGTTGAAAATGCAGGGGGTGGACGCCTATAATATATTGATCATACTATAAATTGAAATATATTATATAATTTAATAGTATATGTATCCATATAAAGTATATATTATATAGTCATGTTTAGCCTACTATTGCAAAAAAAAAAAAAGAAAAAGAAAAAAAGAGACGTGAAAAAACAGATCAAGAAAAAAAGAGATATAGTTTATAGTTCATAAATTTATGTGAGATTGATTTCAGTTGATCGACTCTTTATCATGAAATCAACACTTATTATTTATAATCGGATATAGTTTATAACTACGAATAAGTACCAAGTTGGTAGACGATTCTGATTCAGTTATAAGAATTCAATAACTTGATATATAAATATACGTTTGTATCGTCTATTGAGATATAGAAGTATATAATTTATAACTGACTTGCTTGACATACACACCATATTATTATTTGAATTGATTCTTTCCATAATCCCTTAAAATTAAATAAAAAAAATTAGAATAATATATGTTAACATTTTAGTATATATATCAATGACTAAATTAAGAGATTATGAAATAAATGAGTTGACCCTACAATAATTAAAGATTTAAAAAATCAAATTATGAATTTAAATCTTTTACATTTAAATAAAAAAACTAACCATAATAAATATAAATGCCACAAATAAGGGTAAAATCGGCATTAATAAAAATTCATAAATCCAGAAATCTAAAAGTGTGAAATTGGAAAACTTGGAAAACTTTAAACCATTTGTGAAAATAAATTTCTAAAACAGATCATCCAAGGTATTGTCTCTTTAGTTTTTAATTGATCCTGATGTTTGGGTATGATTTCTAATTGATCTTTAATATTTGAGTTTGTTTTCAATTAGTTCCTAAGTTGAATTGATCATTAGTTGAGTTAATGGAATGATAATGTCACAGTTAATATAGGTCGAGCGTTAGGTTAACTAACAGATAAGAGACAATTTAACTCAATTTCGAATTGAAACTAAATATAATTATCTGTTTTTTAAGTTTTGGGGAAAAAAAAACGAAGTCTTAAAACTTCAGGACCAAATATATATTTTATCATATTTTTTTTAATGTTTTTTTTTTTATGTGGTGTACCGGAGTTTGAGCGTAACTCCTCATTTCACTGAACCTAAAGAAACCGCAAACTCAATAATCTTTTTCCTTCTATTCTCTATTTTTGTTGAGATTAATTCGATCATAATCTATAATAAAATTCAAATTGGCGGCCGAAATCATACCCTTCTTCCCATTATTGGGGATTTCGCTTCCCTCCATGTTTTCTTACTCTCTTCACGGTGGACTAAACCTGTTTTCGCTCCAGCTCCCAGGTTTGCTACGTATTTTGCAAGCTTTGGAGGCTAATTCAGCATTACTATTTTAATTTCTGCGGATTTATACGTACGCATATAGTTCTTGTGCTGTGTTCAATTAGCTGAATGAATTGAAATTTATCGCGAGTTGAATTGCTGTTGTTCGGGTTGGGTTTGGTTTCGACTGGAATTAAATGCTATGTGCAGCTCGAATTTTGGCAGTTGGAAGTGATTAGTGTGGTTAGAATACTCTGTTACCTCTAGAGAGCTGATAATATTGCTAAAAGGAAGCCATGTTAGAGTATTCATCAATTAGGGAGAGAAAAAAGAGTTAATTTCAGAATGGGTTTTGTTGTTTTAGCTTATTGGATTGCTACTTATTTTTGCTCTTCTTGTTCAGCTAAGCAGACCAATATAACTTAGACCGTCACAACTCTACTTTCTTGCATCCTCTTCATTATGGCATCGGATGGAACTGAATCGAAGGTATGTATGATTCATCACCCCCCATACCCCACCTCATCCCAGAAAACGTTTCACTATATTGTGAGATTTTTTTTGTGAATAGAATGTTCAGAAACTAAAGGATTGAAAGGATGACAACATGCTGTAAGGGAGTAAAATAGTTGTTTGAATGGGAAGATGGGTCAATAGTTCCAGCCAGCCATAGGTGGAGTTCCCCACTGTGTACCTCTATTTCATATTATCTCAATCCCCTTAAAACCGACAAGGGAGAGGGGCTACAGTTTCTCATGTCTTTGTAGAGTAATATGATTTTTAGGGTCAAGTAAAAAGCCTATACCAGTGAAGGTGTTTGGTGTGTAGGGGACTGTAACAAGGTGGTGAATGAGAAGACTTTTGGTGTAGATAACAAGGAGCAGGAAACTTTGTAGTAATTTAGTTGAAGACATGATGCTGATACAAATTAACCTCACAGGGTCCAACGCTGAACCAAGAGAGAACTCGTGATAAGCCCCCAGTATGTCAGAAGAAAGAAAGGGCGTTTGGGTGATGATTGAATGGTTAGTTAGGTGGACAAAGGTAACTTGGCACTTTAACACATGGAAGTAATGTATGCGTGAGTATAGAAAGGAAGTTGAGATTATGTGAGTAGAGCTAGGAGGTAGTGAGATTCTGATTGTTGGTGGGAGAGAACAGGACGGTTGAGATTTTGTGACCATTGTAGACTAAGAAGGTTCATCCTAGTAATAAGTTTGTTGTAATTCTGTAAGGTATCACCCTTATGAGATTGATATTGAATAGCAAAGAGTAGCCTATACAGAGTACAAACGCAAAATGAAATCCCCCTCCACCGAGAGAAGTATTTTCTCCCAAGTTCGCCTGTCATACACAAAACAAAGCCTACCCTGTCATACACAAGGTTCCAGAGTATAAACCCCCCTACTAACAATACCTACAACTAATCACGAGTGGGGGAATTCCCATTTCTACCCCGCCTAACATACATATTTATGATCGTGGGTCTCACAAATTCATTCTGCTTAGTATTAATACAATTGAATTGTAGTTGTAAACTTGGTCTAATATTTATTGTATAGAGTCCTAATTTTTCATGATTGGACAACAAAATTTCATGAATCAAGAGTCTCAAGGTAAACTAAGAGTAGTCTTAGAGCAAAACCCAACTACATTAGAAAATGATTCATTTTACAGGGGTACAGTCATTTCGCTTTTGAGAAAATATGATTAAGGCCTAGAGTTCCTTTGATTCGGCTAAGTTTAATTTGGTCTTCCCTCTCTAATTCTCTTTATAATTAATGCCAATTGGGGTAGTTTTACCTTGGGATATATTTTCCTAATTTCCCATCTTTTGTACTTCTCTGAACTATATCAACGTAATGTTTTTCTTTCTTAATAAACTGTTCTTAATTGGTGGTGCTAAAATCCATGACCACTTAGATTAAGATCCAGTACCACTACATCCAATACTCATGGTTAACTAATGATTGGTTGTTGGATCGATGCCTTCAGTAATTTTTTCTTAAAGGAAGAAGGACAAGGATTTCCTCTTCCTTTTGTCTCTCAGTGTGGCATATTGTGTGTTCAACCTATTTATTCATGTAACTTCCATGTTCAGGATAAATCAGCCAGTAATAAACTTTTGGATAATTTGAAGTACAATGTTGAAGTGGCCGAAAAAGTTGCTAATGACGCTCAGGTGTGATATTATTACTAGATTTCACATTGCATCTCATCTACTTCCCATTCAATCAGGTTTAAATTTGAGTTTCCTCTTTGATTTAACACTGAATCCAATTATTTGCTGTTAGCGCTTGCCAATATTGGAGGCGACACCATTATATGAGCAACTGCTGACGGTGTATCCCACTGCTGTGAGTTTCTTTATGTATTTCAACATTTTTATAAATCTACTTCGCTTAGAATAGCTGCATTTTGAAATTTGAACCTTGCCTATTATCGGGCTTGTGAGCAGAAATAGAATAACTACTTCACGTGCTTAGCCAATGCTGGTTAGCACCTCTGGTGTAAACCAAATGAGAGAGAATTTTATTGATCGAAAAAACTACTAACAAATGAAGACAGCAACCCCTTTTATAGAAGAGGGCTAAAGACATTTAACAAGAACTAACTAATAACAGCCAACCAACTAACTAAAAACAGCTAACCAACTAACTTCAGCC